CTGAACGGTCAAGATAATCACTCCATCTTCATTAACAATTTCCCCATTATCTCAGTGATGCCAGAAACCAGTTAACATCTGACTTTAAATCTTTTATAGCCTTCATATAAAGTAAGAAATCTGCCTCAGGGTGAATATTTTTCTGAATCCCTATTTCTGGGACTATCTTGCTATCTCTATCAACCAAGTAGTCTCAAATGTGGGGAACTCCAGCGAAACCAAAATCAATAGAAGATATTTAACAAAAATATAAATTCGCTCAACCCACAATTCCTAAAAGCCAAAGACCAAGACAAGAGGTGAAATTACAATCTTAACACTTTCATTATTTGCCTATATAATTAGTAAGTTTATTGCTGTTTTTTAAAGGTACTATTCTATGTTGGCAAGGCTGCAGTGATGTAGGTATTCTGATACACAGCTGGAAGGAAGGAGTATAAATTTGAGCAGCCTTTCTGAAAAGCAATCTGGTAACAAATAGCAAACCTTTATGTTCGTAACTCTTTAATCCAACATTTTTCTGGTTCCCTATCCCTAAGGACTCTAATTTTAAACAAAGAAAATTTTTATTCAGAAAGATGTTTATCACAATCAAAATATCCAGCAATAGAAAAATAGTTTAAAAATTCATAAGCCAGAATATTAGTCATTAAAAATGAAATCTATAATTTTAACATAAGAAAATGTTTACATGTTAACTCTAAAATACAAAAATATTATCTTAACCATACAAAAAACAGGTACAGAAAAAAAGAAGGAATACATCACTAGATGGTAGGATTGTGGAGGCTTTCAACCTTATTCTAAAAATTTTTGAACATTTTTCAATAGTTCTAAGTGATCTCTAAAATTAATGTTAATGACTGCACTGGATACTCACTAGATTGTCTGCCTGGTTTCTTTTCACCGAAGACTGCCCCTCACCCCAATCACTGCATTATAGTATCATAGCCATTTGTACAATGTGACACATATCCACTTCAGGCCACAGCCAACTGTTCTGGTGAGAGCTATTAACATCAAATGGGCCATAAGTTCCTTTCCTAGAAATGTGAAATTGAACTGAAAGAAAGTAAATCTCCTGTAATCTGTATTTAAGTTTGAGAACTGTACAGGATCAGTATTTTCCACCTACCATGTGAAAGACAGAAGCAAAGAAGACAGTCTGCAGGGGGGAAATGAAGTAGATACAATATAGCACTGAGATACAGAAAAATTACCAATGATTTTCTAGACTCAGTATCTTCTCCAGGCTTGGTTACCATCCTGTTTTAAAATTTACGAGGCACCATGTTTCCTTATGATAAAGTCTTTTGTAATTAAGATAGCTTGATTTTATTTGTTATAACCAAATAGTACCAATTAATAATATTTGTAGTATTTTATGGCCTGTTCATGAAGTAAAAGAACTTCAATCTATTAAAGCTAGCCACTAAAGTCTGACCACGTCCATGCTATTCCCAAGACACTGTTTCAAACCTCAGACCTTGACAAGTCTAACAACTTGAGTTACAATAAATCATTGCATAGTTTATTCTTTTAAGGGGAAGCATCTCTAAACTGCAAAAAACTAGGAAACAAAACATGTTATTATAAACATAACCTTTCATTTGAAAAAGAGTCAAGTCACTAAAAGTACTTTTAGGAAAAATGCTTTCTCTTCACATACAGCAATTTTTTCATAATGTGGATGAAGAAAATGCTGGGCAAGAGTGATTCCCAGAAGGTACTCAGTGAATGACCTTCCAGTCCCTTAGAGAGAACTACCATTTACCAAATGTCCTAAGCATTATACTAGGCACTTTACACAATTCACTTTAATCATTAAACTAATGACTTGCTATTCCCATGTTACAGATGTAAAAAACTGATTCAGAGGGTTAAATGGTTTGCTCAAAGGTACAGTTACTAAAACAAAAATGTCAAAATTCAAACTTCAAATCCATACTCTGTGCACTAGGCTATAAAATTTCTCATAGCTACCATTTCTAGAACCCTTATCATAAGAGACAGAACAAATAGGGTAACAGCAAAACAAAACTAAAAACAGAAATAGCAACAAGGAACAGTATAGTCATAAAAAAGAATACTCTTTCTATTTATAGTGTAAAAAGAGTTTAAAATCATATAACTGCTTTTATAATATTCAGAAAACAAAACTGAATATAAGCTTTCATATATAACACAATCTAGGTATGTCAGAAAAAAAAACTAAAAAGGCAACCTAAATGTCCCCAAAAAAGGGACTGTTTTCAGTAAATTATAGAAAATTACCACAAGCAAAATTGGAAATAGACCATTATGTATTATGTGTGTGGGGGCGGGGGGGGAGGAGAATAAACTGGAAAACTACATGTGTTTCTTATCACCCTAATACATAAAGAATGCCTATAAACCACTAAGAAAAAGATGGTCAAATAATTTTCTAGACTCAGTATCTTCTCCAGGCTTGGTTACCATCCTGTTTTAAAATTTATGAGGCACCATGTTTCCTTATGATAAAGTCTTTTGTATATTAAGATAGCTTGATTTTATTTGTTATAACCAAATAGTACCAATTAATAATATTTGTAGTATTTTGTGGCCTGTTCATGAAGTAAAAGAACTTCAATCTATTAAAGCTAATATTAAAGAAAAATGCCTGTAAGATCTAAACACAGAAAAGGAAATACAAATGAGTCTCAACTATACACATAGTAACAAAAATGAAAATTACTACTGCATTGAGGTAATATTTTTCATCTCTCAGATTAACAAAGATCAAGAGGTCCTAATAACACTGTATTGGTATGGGTATGGGGGAAGCTTGTACTCATACATTGCAATGAGTGTAAATTTATACAACCCCTATCAATAAGCAATTTGACAATAGCTAACAAAACTGTAAATGCATACATATTTTGACCCACCAATTATATCTACAATAAATTATTGTACAAATATCTCCCATGTGAATGAAACATCTTCTGTACAACAGAAATCACTGCAGTAGTAGTAAAATACTGGTAACAACCTAAATTTCCACCAACAGCAGCAATGGATAAAATAAAACTCATCTATACATGGTGTATTATACATCCAAAAAAGAGAGAAACTCTCATATGTACTGCTATGGAATGATCTCATAGAGATATTAAATGAAAGAAGCACGATGCAGAATAATGTGTAGAGTATACCATGACCTGGGTAAAGGAAGGTGCTTATACTATATAATGTGTGGAGTATACCATGACCTGGGTAAAGGAAGGTACTACATAAAATCTCTTGAAAGGACACACTAGAAAACTAGTCATAAAGGTTGACTCCAGGGAGAAAACTGGTTGGCTGGGGACAGGGACAGAAGACAGATAGTTCATTTATATCTTTTTAAATTTTGAGCCATGTGAACACTGTTACCCATTCAAAAACTAAACTTTTTAAAACTAATGTAAATTTTAAAACACACAAAAAATAAATTATGGTACATTCAGATTATAAAATGTTTTCCAGTATAGTTAATAAATAAAAAAAGATCTAAGGTAAACTATTAAGGGGGGAAAAGGAACAAAGCTTATACAAAAAAGTTTCCATTTTGTTGAAAAAGTAAACAGAAAAAAATATTTTTATATGCACAGAAATATGCCTCTCTAGGTGCTGGGATTATGGGTAACTTTTTTTTCTTTACACTCTTTTGTCCTTTCCTAATTTTCTATAATGGGCATGTATTTCATTAAAAATAAAGGGGGGAAAAGAGAAAAAAAATAAAGGGGGAAAAACACAAAAAGCATAGCTAAAATCTTTATTTAATCTGTGAATAAATCACCCTTAATCACAGTATCACTGACCCTTACCTGACCATGACTGGTTGCTGGTTCTTCCTTCAACAAAAGTTTTTCTTTCAAGCTTTTAATTGGACTTTCTTGGAAATCCTTGGTTTCTGAGTGCCAGACAGATGCCCTAGACTCTTGCCTCTCCTCCTCTTTGTCTTCATCTGCCATATCTTCTGAGATGCCTTCATTTTTTTCACTAGCCTGATTTCCTTGGCCACATTCATTCTGGATCAGAGAAGGAGGTCTAGGTAACACTGGTTCCCCAAATCCTTTTTTTTTAAAGAGCTGCCTCTGAGCCATTTTCAGGCTCTTTTGATAAACCTCCAACTGGCAGAGAATGACCTTGGTATACTGGTTAGGGTCTATTCCAGCTGGGCAAAATGGAATACCCCAGAAGTAGTGCACAGTGCCCCCACTGTTCTGGATACCTTTGGCATCTGCTGAGGCAGGCAGAAAGTGCCTAGATGTGTCCCCCCTACCCTGGGCAGCTTCGTGAAAATCACATCCTCTCCCAGTACTTTCCTGTGGCTTCCCACACTGTGTGTGCTCAGCCAAGTGGCCAGTGCATCTGTCAAAACATTTAACGTTCTCATTCTCAACCACTGGCTGGCTTGACTGGTCCCAGCTTCCTGAGCTGCCAGAGACCGGCTCCTCTTCAGTGTTTTCAGTGTGGTCCCAAGGCTCCTCTCTTTTCTCAGCCTCGTTTCCCTGACTGATATGTGAGCCTTTTAACAGTGATGGAGGTACCAGCTGCCATATGCCTGTAGGTATTTGAGAAAAAGTAGGACTAAGGACAAACTTTTTTATTAAGAGGGCTTGGTAAGTTCTCACTTACCAAGAACTACATAATGTGGGTAAAAGGCTCTTCTTTGGGTTTAACCAACTGTTGGCTTTTCCTTGGAGATAAAGTATGCTGGATATTAGTGATATCTCAACTACTTTCTGATTTAACCTCTTTAATACCACCAAAGAAATTTAGGGAATTTCTGTATATCTACTGTCAGTATGAGATCCCTGTGATATGGTTATACTTAATGAGTGCAAGGAGTCAGAACAGGGAGACATGCCTTCAGTGGTCCCAGAGTCTGTGGTTTTCTCTCGGTGGGATTGTGAAGATGGTCCAATGGCCTGAGCTCGAGATCTGGTAGCAGAAGCATCAGAAGGCCGGCAACTCTGAAACAAGCAATCCCAAACAAGATCAGGTTTATTATTAAAATAGCTACACATGAAGGGTCACAGGAACGACAAAAAGGGGAGGCCACTGTCCCTAAGAGATTCTCCTCTTTAAAATGTAGATGCACAATTCAAATGAATTCCACAATGCATACTAAATGCTTACTATGTGCAAATAACTATCCTAGGTTCTATACTAAACCCTTTTCTAATATAGAGAAGTAGATGGCATAAATGACTCAGGACCTGTCACTGGTAAATATCCTTCATATTTAAAATAATTTCAATTACACTTATTCAAATCACAATTTAACATTATTTGAAACATTTTAAAACTGCCCACTCTTTCTCTCTGTAACCCACCTCTAGCTCTCATTCTCTTTGTTCTCTCTACAAAATAGGGGAGGTAAGTACTTTATCTTGCCCCTTTTGGTTTCTTGTTAATAGGTCATTCTTTTCAGAAGCTGCCAACTGCTATGGTTCTCTTAAGCCATGGACTGAAAAAGTGTGAGATGGAAGAAAGTTCTTTCATACAGAATTAGCAAAACACTTCAAATTAGGTTTTCAACAATTCAACATGGGCTTTAAAAATTGTGGGAATATTAGTTGAAAATCCTATGAACTACCACAGCATTAGTTTCTAATGCAACCATAACACTGTAAAAGAAAAAGAATTTTACTTATCAATCCTCACAAACTTTTTCAGCATAGCATGATTACATTTAGGCTTTCTGCAATGGCTTTCCTCAAGAGCTCCTCTTCTTCCTCCTCCTGGCTGTTCACTTCTCTAGCTTCCTGCTCACTCATTTTGAGAGCTAGAGCAAACTGTTCTTCTTCTGTCATTTCTGTAGAAGGGCAAGGAAAGAGAGGGGAGGGATACCACAAACAATGAATAAGCATGGAGGTAAGGAATAGAATTGTTAAACTTTTTAAGTGAAGATACTACAGACCATGTAATACAATTTTATAATCTTATAAATGAGGAAAGTCCCAAAAAATAAGGTATTGGCCAAAATCGGCAGCAGAAGTTACAAGAATCCTGGCTTAACTAGACTGTGAGCTCTTATGAAGGCAGTTTGTGCCTATTTTGTTCACTGTTGTATCTCCAGCATACAGGGGTAGGCGAAAGTAGGTTTACAGTTGTGAGTACGTGAAACAGTTTATTCTTGTATTATTTCTTATTTACTAATTACTGTATTATTTATTATCATTAATCTACTTTTGTCCAACTCTATATAAAAAAGAATACCTAGCAACTGGTAGATACTCAAATATTTGGTGAATGAATAAACAGGAACAGGCTTTCAGGGCTTTTTGCTACATACCAATCACACTGCTTTATGCTCGACATTTAACCAGAATAATTTACTCAATCAGAATCCTCTTAATGGGACCATTTACCCAGTAGAAAAGACCTTCCCTAGTGACCAGAATGTGATCCCCAAAATCATTTCCTATTAAAAGCAACTGGAGTACCTAGGAGAAATGGCTGATTCAAAGTCTGTAATAGAAATGTAGAAGATGAGCTAGAGTACCTATCATATCTGTGAGCAAGGAAGCTATAAGACATTACCAGGGTCATATCAAAAAAAATTTAAGAGCCAAAGTAAAAAGGTTCTCCCTGGCCAAAACTAGAACTAGAATATCGATAAAAATAATGAATTAAAACACATTAAATATGTTGAATCCCAGAGTTCATAATGATACTTAAAAAGACAGCCAACTGGTCATTGTTAAAGAATGTTAGTGAATCAATTATTTTTGCAACTGGTAAAGGATAAATAATGTCACTGTCGGGCGCATACAGTGGTGGTATGGTTTGCTATTAAAGTTCAGGAGAGCCCATCCGGTGTGGCTCAGTGGTTGAGCATCAATCTATGAACCAGGAGGTCAAGGTTTGAATCCTGGTGAGGGCACATGCCCGGGGTGCGGGCTTGGTCCCCATTCGGGGGCGTGCAGGAGGCAGCCAATCAATGATTCTCTCTCATCACTGATATTTCTCTTTCTCTCCCTTTCTCTCTGAAATCAATAAAAATATATTTAAAATAATAATCATATTCAAATTATGTGTTATTATATATTATTTAAAGAAACACAAAACTTCAATTTCAATTATCAAACTCAATCATTTGATGTATATTTTACTGACAACACAGAGCCACATAACTTGACAAAGCCACCATTAAAAATTTTCTTTAACCACTCTGAATTAAACCAGAATTAAAAGGACACTCTCATTCACTAGTTACTTTCTCTTATTTTCACATATCAACATGTTCTAAGACTAAAGTTCAATTAACACTGCTGTTGACTAAAACATTTTACCTTACCTCTCTACGAGATAAAAATTCAACCAGAAGAAAAAATAGAAAAAAATTAGAATCACACCTGGGAGCATGATCCCTTAAGGAAAATGTCAGCAAGTTTCAACCTTATCAGCATTACATATTACTTATCAAATGATTCTGCTAAGCTAAACAAGAGAAGTACAAAATTTGTGTGAAGCTGATTATGCTGGTTATAATTTACAATAATTAACATCTCCCAACATTCAGGTTGAGACATGCAAACAGACTGTTAATAATCCAGAACACAAAACTAGACAGTATATATCAAGAAAACTTGTATAATTTGTGAGTACTTAAAATGGCTAAAAGAGAACATTTCATATAACAATGGAAAAAATAAAGACTTTCTCCTTTTTTTGGTACAACACTATGACTTATAATTTCTAATCAATTCTAAAAACAAAAACATACGTGCAATTTTTCTTTTAGCCAAACACTTTGCTCTATTCAACTGTTTTGTGTTCATCTTCTCTAATCCATTTTCCTCTTGTGGTTCCTGTTTCAAAACAAAGAAATATGATCAGGATAGCTACCATTAAAAGTAATACTCTTTCCATCTCCTCTACAGCCAGGAGGCTGCTGAGGCTCTGAAGAATCAGCAGTTGTAAACATTCACAGAAAACATCAGTAAAAGATCCTCTACAGTACTACCCTGGCCAGGTAGCTCAGTTGGTTAGAGCGTTGTCTCACACACAAAAACGTTTCAGATTTGATTCCTGGTCAGGACATGTACCTAGGTTTCAGGTTCAATCCTTGGATGAGGTGCATTCAGGAGGCAACCAATCAAAGTTTCTCTCTCATATCAATGTTTTTCTCTCCCTTCCTCTCTCTAAAATCAGTTTTAAAAAAAAAAAAAAAGATCCGCCCTAGCCGGTTTGGCTCAGTGGATAGAGCGTCAGCCTGCGGACTCTAGGGTCCCAGGTTCGATTCCGGTCAAGGGCATGTACCTTGGTTGCGGGCACATCCCCAGTAGGGGGTGTGCAGGAGGCAGCTGATCGATGTTTCTCTCTCATCGATGTTTCTAACTCTCTGTCCCTCTCCCTTTCTCTCTCTGTGAAAAATCAATAAAATATATTTTTTTAAAAAGATCCTTTACAGTACCAAAAAAAATGTAGATCGATAAATGTAGACCAATAAATATCACAAAAATAAAAATATTTAACATACTGACATTATCTGTCATACACATGCTCATGTAAAAAGTGGACTATCTGCCGAAACCGGTTTGGCTCAGTGGATAGAGCGTCGGCTTGCGGACTGAAAGGTCCCAGGTTCGGTTCCGGCCAAGGGCATGTACCTGGGTTGCGGGCACATCCCCAGTGGGAGATGTGCAGGAGGCAGCTGATCGATGTTTCTCTCTCATCGATGTTTCTAACTCTCTATCTCTCTCCCTTTCTCTCTCTGTGAAAAATCAATAAAATATATTTTTTTAAAAAAAAGTGGACTATCTGCAAAATAGTAGTAAGCATGCTACCCAAGTTCAGAAAAGGCTTGAAAGTTTAAAAATCACCCTGGCTGGTATTGCTCAATGGCTAGAGCATCGGCCCATGCATCAATAGGTTGTGGGTTCAATTCCCAACCAAGGGCACATAGCTGGGTTGCAGGTTCAATCCCCGATTATGCCTATGCAAAAGACAACCAATCCATATGTTTCTCTCACATCAATGTTTCTCTCTCTCTCTGCCCCTCCCTCCCTCTCTCTTTAAAAATCAATAGGAAGAATATCCTTGGATGAGGATTAACCAAAAAAAAAAAAAAAAGTTTAATGTTTAATAATGTTTTAACTCAGTGCAAATTTTTTAAATCAGTATGTCAAAAAGCAAGAAAACAACTTGGAGAAAGTATGCAACACATTTGTCAGACAAAGGGCTAATTTTCCTTTTATAGTCATACATTGCATAATCATTTCACTCAACAACATACTGCATATATTACACTGGTCTCATAAGATTATAATGGAGCTGAAAAATTCCTATCACTGAGTGACATCATAGCCAATGCAACATCGTACACAACATATTACATGTTTCGATGATGCTGGTGTAAACAAATCTACACTGCTGCCAGTCATATAAAAGCATAGTACATACTACCTTCTATCTACATATATAAAAGGCTAAGTGACCAAACGTACATCCATCTGACCGGTACATATGATGCGCACTGGCAATTTAAAAATAAACATTAACTCACACATGTGCGATACATACAAAGCTCTCGCTGGCGCATTTAAAAGGCTAAGTGACCAACCTGACACTTCTATTATAGAGAAAGGGTGAATAGCGATACTAAAATATTTCTTCTAATTTCCTTTCAATGTGCACGAATCTGTGCACTGGGCCACTAGTTGTATATAGTACATAATACTTGATAATGGTAATAAACGACTATGTTACTGGTTTATGTATTTACTATAATTTTTGTTGTTATTTTAGAGTATATTCCTTCTACTTACCAAAAAAATTTGCTGTAAAACAGTATGCCATGTTACACCAGCAGTAACCTCATACATCTTGTGTTTACCATATATCTTGATTGCATCATTTTCTCTTGTTCTTGATTAATCTTGTGCTGTTTTATATAGTAACATGCTGTACAAGTTTGTAGCACATGAGCAATAGGCTATACCAGTGGTCGGCAAACTCATTAGTCAACAGAGCCAAATATCAACAGTACGATTGAAATTTCTTTTGAGAGCCAAATTTTTTAAACTTAAACTATATAGGTAAGTACACTGTTATTAACTTAATTAGGGTACTCCTAAGGCTTAGGAAGAGCCACACTCAAGGCCAAAGAGCCACATGTGGCTCACGAGCCGCAGTTTGCCAGCCACGGGGCTATACCATATAGCCTAAGGTGTGTAAGATTAAGTTTGTGTAAATCTAGGTTTGTGTAAGTACACTCTATGATATTCACAGAATGAGATCTCCAGTGAGTTTCTCAGAATGTGATGTTAAGTGGTGCATGACTATATATAAAGACCTCTTACAAATCAATTAACAAAACAATATTTAGCCTCTTCCCATAGGAAAAGACATGTTAAGACACTTCCTAGAAAAACATACACAAGGGACTCGTCCTATATAATAAAGAGTAATATGCAAATTGATTGTAATTCCAACACACAAGATGGCCACCCCCATGTGGTCAAAGATGGCCATCCCCATGTGGACACAAAATGGCCAGCAGGGGAGGGCAATTGTGGGCAATCAGGCCTTCAGGGGAGGGCAGTTGTGAGCAATCAGGCCAGCAGGGGTGGGCAGTTGGGGGCGATCAGGCCTGCAGGGGAGGGCAGTTAGAGGTGACCAGGCTGGCAATGGAGGGAAGTTAGGGGCAACTGGGCTGGCAGGGGAGCAGTTAGGCATCAATCAGGCTAGCAGGGGAGTGGTTAGGGGGTGATGAGGCTGGCAGGGGAGTGGTTAGGGGGTGATCAGGCTGGCAGGGGAGTGGTTAGGGGGGGATCAGGCTGGCAGGCAGAAGAGGTTAGGGGCAACCAGACAGGCAGGCAGGTGAGTGGTTGGGAGCCAACAGTCCTGGAATGTGAGTTAGGCCCACCAGGATCGGGCCTAAATAGGCAGTTGGACATCCCTCTAGGGGTCTCAGATTGGAGAGGGTGCAGGCTGGGCTGAGGGACACACACACACACCCTGCATGAATTTCACGCACTGGGCCTCTAGTAAGTATATGAAAAGATGCTCAATTTCACTTTGGAAATGCAAATCAAAACAATTATATAGATACCATATTTCTTTTACCAATACTAGGTGAAAATTAAAATGTTTTATAAAACTCTTACTATGGGGAAATAGGTACTCTCATACCACTGATGGGATATAATGGATGCAATATTCTAGTTTAGAGAACAAATTTGAAATAACCTCTAAAATCATAAATATACAACACACTCTTTGTACAGCAATATACTTCCAGGAATTTATTCTACAGATATTTAACCTCTTTGTGAATAATTATGTTCACAGTGGAAAGTTTTGTCATTGTAAAAGACTGTAAACAACCTCAATGCTACTCAAAGTATGATCTATAAGTGAAAATTAGCACACTGATTGTTGCTAGTCTGCAACAAAATAAGCACAGAAATTGAGAATAAGCATTTAGAAACTTTTACAGCAATCTGACATTGCTACAACATCCATGCAGGATAAGAGAATTTATACGGTGAAAGCTGCAGACTAGTCATTTGCAAAAACACCAAGTTATAATAATATGTGCTGTTTTAAAGTTAGTTATTTATTAAAATTCAAAGTCTATAAATATCTGAGAAAATATAAATTTATTTATAATTTATATTAACTATATTTTTAATCAAGCCCATTTTTAAAGTTATACTTTAATACTACTAGCTAAACAAAAAAAGTAAACTTTATATTATTTATTTTTAAATCCTAATTTATAGATTTCAAACAAGCTTCACTGGACTTTTGTCATCAAGAAAAAAACAAATCTTTCTGAAATAGCAGTAGCAATAAAAAAAAAATAATGATCCAAGTAATTGTGAAGACATAAAGGGCAAAAGTTTACTTCTAGTTTTACTCAGAAGTATAATCCTTCACATATTGAGTTCAGTTTTGAATCCACAATTGATGGTGTATATAACAATCAGAGTGTCTTATTTCTAAATACATACTAACTAAAAAAACTATGAAAACTTAAACATTTATATAGAAAACAAAGTTGAAAATAAATTTTAAAATCTGAGTATTAAATTAATAAGCTCACACAGATGCTTAATACTTCATATATAAACATTAGTACTTTATGGATTTCTTATAAATACTATATTTACTAAGACAAAAAAACTATATAGAAAGAAATTAGTTAAAGATGGCAAAGTTGTCTACTTGGAAATAATGGGTGAGTCTGAGGCAAAGAAGGTAGCTCAAGTACCATATTCCAAAGGCAACATAGCTTAATATATTCAGAAGGCAGATCATGATATGGAAGACCAATTAATAAATAAAGCTAGCAACATATTTTCATTGCAACCCCATGAGTGTACAGATATTGGCAACTCAGCAGTACTTTTAGGAAATGTGTGATGAGCTTGATGATAGAAAAATTCTTTCAGCTTTATTTTTGACAAACATTAAGTTCTAAACTGTTTAAAACCATAAAGGGTTAAACTTTTACTTTTTTATGAAGCCAGGAGTAACAACAGGAATATTTCCGAGATTAAGGAACTTGTGCCAGAATGTTAATCAACATTCCATTACTGAAAAATACCAGCCAAACTACTGTGCATAGTAGAAATTATAAATTACATAAAGACTAAGGCTAATGCACTCAATTCAATAATATTTTCTTCATTGAGTGATATGTAAATGGATCATAAACAACTGTTATTACTTGCTGAGATATAAGATTAAAGGGAAAAATTCTGTGGAGAATTCTGAACTACAAAATGAATGCTCACTGTTTCTGCAACTTTTTAACCTACAAAAAGTGAACAATTTCAAGTATTACCACATTAACTTTAGATTAAAATCTTTAATGTTAATATCTATAAAAGAATCTGCTAAGATATAGGACATATTCACTGAATAAGCTCTCTTTTTATACAAAAAACATTGCAGCAGTGCTTAAGCAAAGGACTGGAGAAAAATGCTTCTGGGTATAGTACAGCTGATTTTAATTTGAAGTGCACATACCCGAATTTAGTTAACATTCTTAAAAGGGTAAACAGATACTAAAAGCAAAACAAATGCTGTAAGATTCAAGAAACTATTCTCTAAAAGAGGGTGAGGGCCCTGGCTAGTTTGGCTCAGTGGATAGAGCGTCGGCCTGCGGACTGAGGGGTCCCGGGTTCGATTCCGGTCAGGGGCGTGTGCCTTGGTTTCGGGCACATCCCCAGGGGGCGGTGTGCAGGCAGCTGATCAATGTTTCTCTCTCATCGATGTTTCTAACTCTCTAACCCTCTCCCTTCTCTCTGTGAAAAATCAATAAAATATATTTTAAAAAAAAAAAGAGGGTGAGGGGGGCAAGAAGGGATTGTAAGTACAGGAGTGCATCTTCCTACTTCCAGGAAACCAAAGACTTTTATCCGACTGAAACACTTCAAAGTGACAACTGAGAATCTTGAAAATGGGGAATTGAAGATTGAAAAAAACAAGAATAAACAAATCCAATTCATCAACTGGTCCCACAGACTGTTTTGGCACTGACAAAATCCAACTGGTTACTGACTCTTGTGGGCATCTTCTTTCAGGCAGTCAGGTAGATGCTCCAACTAGTATCAAAGAAGTGATTTTATGACACAGCAGACTTTTTGTGGTCTCTTATAAATGTGTTTCTTATAATGTAAGTCTACAAGCTTTAGAGAGGAATGGTTTGAGATGAGTGAATTTCTTATTTTACCACCATACTATATTGTACTTTTCATCTAGAGACATTGTATAAATGTTAAAAGATTAGCTGGTGTCCAACTGATGTAGCTCAATGAATGACCATCGACCTATGAACCAGGAGGTCACAGCTCAATTCCCAGTCACGGCACATGCCTGGGTTGTGGGGCTTGGATCCCCAGTAGGGGGCATGCAGGAGGCAGCCAATCGATGATTCTCTCTCATCATTGATGCGTTTCTCTCTCTCTCTGTCTCTATCCCCCTCACCCTTCTTCTCTGAAATCAATTTTTAAAAAAATTTTAAATATTAGCTAGTAATTAATACACAACACTTTTGTCACAAAATAGAAGCTTTTTAAAATAAGGGTAATAATAATATAGTTACCATCTATTGCATATCATTATGTGCCAAGCCCACTATATACATTACCTCATTTAATTCCTCTCAAAATTCCTGTGTGAAGAATATCACTGCCTCCATTTCGTAGATGAGAAAAGTGAGGCTCAGTAAGTGTAAGGTCAGGAAAAACTAGCCCTATCCAACCATAAAACTCCAAATATTCTTTTCTTTTCCTTTGGATTTTTTAGTGTTGTTATTTTGTTAACAGGAGAAAAATGTAAGAGAAGAAGACAATAGGGTTATCAACATAAGTCAGTTAGCTTTACTCTTCTGCCATCCTGAACATTTACAATGTCAGTTATCATTTACTGAAGTACCACTCTAGAAAATTTTACTTACTTTATTCATAGTCCTCACAACAATCCTATAGAGTATTACTAGTCTTATATATAATAAAAAGTCCAGAAAGGTCACATAGTTAGTAAGTGGCAATTCAAACACAATGGCAAGATTTTCAAAAGCTCATCTTTGTTCTCTTAAATTAGAACCCTGATGAGAGTAAGAATGAAATTGATCAGAGCAAGTAACTACTCAGCAAAAGCAAGCTATGATGAAGCCCCAGTGATGTTGGCTTTGTGCCATTATCTTTATGTTTAAAAACAACAAGATAGTTCCTGGCTTCTTTTGCACCAGGAACTAGAACATTTTCTTAAAGAAATATTCAAATAAAACAGCACCAACAAGTAAAACCTGATACAGATTTTTTTGAGAATGCCTACTGGTATAGGCCAAGCATTATTGTTGAGTGTTACAGATAAATGTTAAATGTTACAGATAAAAAATTCCTGCCCTCTAGGAAATCATGGTCCAGTGATGAAGGCAGAAAAGCACAACGGCAATTTCAAAACAGTGTAACAACTAATACTACAGAAGTAAGCATAGGTTCTATGGAAGCACAATAGATGGCCAATTGACCCAGTCCTGGAAAATCTGCAAGGATCCCCAAAGGAATTAATATCTAAACTGAAGAACAAATTGGAATTAGCACTGTCAGTAGTACAAAGAGCAAAAGAAGTATCAAATAATTAATTCAATTTTCAACTTTCAAGACCAAATAAGTGTATTCCTGGATGACTATACCATTTACTCATTTATTCTAAAACAAAACAAGAAAGTCTTTAAAAAATGCACAAAAATACCAAGACATGAAAAGAACATGAAGAGTATATTAAAAATTAGTTGGTAGGACAGTTTTATGAGCAAGTGCTAGTAAATCTTAAAGAACAGATCATTCTTTTATTATCTAAACTGCGGTAGGACATAAAAAACAATAAAAAGCTTCCTTTCTATATTATAGCAGAAATCTGAAACTAATATCTGATATAGTAAAAAAAAAAAAGACAATTATATAAAAATCAATGCCACTAGGAATACAAATGCAAAACTCATAAATGATATGAAAAAGTAAATTCTATATTATGTTAATGTAATACATCATGACTAAGTAAAATTTTCTCCAGAAATGCAAAAATGTTCCAACATTAGACAATGTATTAATGAACTATATATTAATTGATTAAAGGAGGAAAACTATGCCATCATCTTGCTAAATAATGAAAAGGCATTTGATTAAACATCCATTCCTAAAAATACTAATAGAAAATAAGCAATTAAAGGATATTTCTATAATAAATATAATATAGAAATAAGAAACAAATAACAAAACATCAGAATACTTCCACAATTAAATTCAAAACAAAGATGTACTCTATCACTGATAACAATTAACATTATTTTGGAGGCTATAGTCAATGCAATGAAACAAAAAAATTAGCTGTAAGTACTAGAAAGGAAGAAAGAAAATGATCATTATTAGCAGATACAAGTGCCTACCTAAATAACCCAAGATAATGACTGAACAATTATTCCAAAAATATGTGACAGATCAATGGAACAAAATTTTAAAATCTAAAAAAAAAAAGTATAGGCAAGATTTTAATTTATAATAAAGATAAAATTTCAAATCTTTGGGAAAAGGTAGATTATAGAAAAATGTTGGCAGAAGTGCCTAACCACTAAGACTCAGTTTTGCAACATATATATGTATACTGTTTAGACATAAATATAAATATGGTAGAATCATAAGGGAAAGATAAAACAAATACAGTAGTTACCTTTACAAGGGTGAAAAGGGATGCAATTGGGGAGGGTCACACTAAATCAAGAGGGCTTCTAAGATGGTGAATACAGGTGCTCGGATTATTTTTTTAACTATGCATCTACATTTTATGCCACTCTCCTACATGTGTGACATATCTGACAATTTTTAAAAATTTTAATGAGATAGAGCTATATGTGCTATTACAGAAAGATCTCCAAGAAATGTTAAGTGGAAAAAGCAAAACAATCTGTGTAGCATGATTTCTATTCTATAAAAGTTTTTATTGATGGTATATGCATGAAGTTTTTTTTTTTCTGGAAGAATACAAGAAACATACACTGACTAAGATATACATCTTCATTTCATACCTTTCTATATTGTTTTGTTTTCAAACAGTTTTTATTCTGTTTTGATTTAGCATTATGTAACTTTTTAGAAATTTTATATCTGTGTGTGGTAGAATTGATGGGTTGCTTTGTTTTCTTCTTTATACTTTTACATCTTTAAAAAATAACTATTTGAGCCGAAACCGGTTTGGCTCAGTGGATAGAGCGTCGGCCTGCGGACCGAGGGGTCCCAGGTTCGATTCCGGCCAAGGACATGTACCTGGGTTGCGGACACATCCCCAATGGGAGATGTGCTGGAGGCAGCTGATGGATGTCTCTCTCTCATCGAAGTTTCTAACTCTCTATCTCTCTCCCTTCCTCTCTGTAAAAAATCAATAAAATATATTTTAAAAAAAAATAAATAACTATTTGACAAAACCCTAATTAAAAACTATACTTTGAGGAAAATTTAAAAATATATATCCAACAGAGTTAGGAAAAAATTCTCAATCTTTCTGATTATTAAAAATATTTAACTTTTTGATCATCAAATAGGGAAAATTTTAATAGTGATAATAGTCTTAGCAAGGGGACAAGAAATGAACGGCTGATAAGAATATAAGTAAGACTAGACTGTGAAGGTTCTGATAAAGTAAACTATATTAAAGTTCTAAACTGATCTTGTAGGTATTACAGTCACAAATTTTTAAGTAATCAAGTACAAAAATATAAAATCTGAAAGTTGGAGTAAGCTAAGTGAAATGTAGAGAGAAAAAGCTGAAGGCACAGAAGCAAGTTCAGAGAACTCAAATAATAGATGATCAAAATGAAACGGAGTAAAAATTGCAAGGTCTGGCAAGCTGACATTAAGGTTTAGTCACAACACAAACCAGTCTTGGGTAAGAAGGCCTACTTTGAGACCTAGAGCTTCACACTTCAAAATACTAACCTCTCCATCACTATCAGATATCACAATGAATGCATCCTCCAGTTTACGCTTCCTCCTCACATTGACAGGACTGGAAGTTTCTGTATCTTTCTTCTCCAAGTTCTGAGCTTCAGACGCTTCTTTAACTTTTTTCTTTCTCCGTGGCATCCTTCTGTCTGAAATACACGGACAAATAATTCATTCAAAGTATAAGTTTTCTAGCCCTAGCCGATTTGGCTCAGTGGACAGAGTGTCGGCCTGTGAACTGAAGGGTCCCGGGTTCAATTCTGGTCAAGGGTACATGCCCAGGATGTGGGCTCCATCGCCAGTAGGGGGTGTGCAGAAGGCAGCTGATCAATGATTCTCTGTCATCATTGATGTTTCTATCTCTCCCTCTCCCTTCCTCTCTGAAATCAATAAAAATATATATTTTTTTGAAAGTATGTTTTCTAGATGCTATTTGTAATTTAATCATAGAAAAGAAAAAGATGCTCATCTAATAGAAGTAAAACTGGGTATCTAAACTTTTCCACTACTCTTTAATGAAATTTTAATAGTAATGAAATTTTAATAGGAATAATACAACAAATTATCCTAGTTCCTTAAACATTGACTTAAATCACTGGGTTTTTTTTACTGCATATTATAATTTATCTAAAAAGATTTTTAATATCAATGCCTCAACCTGATAAAAATATATCTCAAAAAAAACCAACAGTAATATCATACTTAAAGATAAAAGACTGAATGCTTTCTCCTTAAGATAGGAATAAGACAAGAATGTCTGTTTTCATCCTTTCTATTGAACTTTATACTGAAAATTCTAGGCAGATCAATTATGCAAGAAGAAATAAAACACACCCAAGCTGAAAAGGACATAATCTTATTAATTTTTTTTAAAAATCCACAAAATACTATAATGAACAAGTTCAGCAAGATTATACAAGGTCAATATACAAAAAACACTAGCAATGAACAATCCAAAAATGAAATTTGAAAAATTCAAGTTCTAACAGCTTAGGAATAAATTTAATGAAGGAAGTAGAAGATTTGCAAATGGAAACTTTAAAATCTCTGTTGACTTTTTTGGGGAAATAGACAAGCTGATCCTAAAATTCACACGGAAACAGAGGGTCCCAGAATAGGCAAAACAATCCTGAAAAAAGTGAAATAATTTTAAGGAACCACATCTCAATTTCAAAATTTACCACAGCCCTAGCTGGTTTGGTTCAGTGGATAGAGTGTCAGCCTATGGACTGAAGGGTCCCGGGTTCAATTCCAGTCAAGGGCACGTGCCGGGTTGTGGGCTCGATCCCCAGAAGGGGGTGTGCAGGAAGCAGCCAATCAATGACTCTCTCTCATCATTAATGTTTCTCTCTCTCCCTCTCCCTTTCTCTCTAAAATCAATTTTAAAAAATATTTTTTTAAAAAATCTTACCACAAAGCTAGTTAACAAGACACTGGCACACTGACACAAGGATAGACAAAAATCGATGGTACAGAACTGAGAATCCAGAAAACACCTACAGATTGTCAATTTTCAACAAGGATGCCAAAATACTTGAATAGAGAAAGTATAGTCTTTTCAACAAATGTAGATATCCATATACAAAAGAATGATACAGGACCTCTACCTACCATATACAAAAAATTGCAAGAAATAGAATTAGGTTCTTAAGAGAAACATAGGCATAAATTTTTGAGATCTTGAATAGGAAATGGTTTGTTAATTATGACATCAAAAGCATAAGCAACAACAGCAAAAATAAAGAAACTGGGCTTTGTTTAAATCAAAAACCTTGCCCGGCCAATGTGGCTCAGTAGTTGAGCGTCAACCTATGAACCAGGTCACAGTTCGATTCCTGGTCAGGACACATGTGCCTGAGTTGTGGGATCAATCCCCAGTATGGGGCATTCAGGAAGCAGCCAATCAATGATTCTCTCTCATCACTGATGTTTCTCTCTCTCTCTCTCCCCCTTCCTCTCTGAAATTAATTTAAAATATATATTTTAAAAAACAACAAACTTTGTGCTTCAAACCATTATATCAAGAAATTGAGCCCTGGCCGAAACCGGTTTGGCTCAGTGGATAGAGCGTCGGCCTGCGGACTGAGGGGTCCCAGGTTCGATTCCGGTCAAGGGCATATACCTGGGTTGCGGGCACATCCCCAGTGGGAGATGTGCAGGGGGCAGCTGATCGATGTATCTCTCTCATCGATGTTTCTAACTCTCTATCTCTCTCCCTTCCTCTCTGTAAAAAATCAATAACATATATTTAAAAAAAAAAAAGAAAAAGAAATTGAGCCCTGGCCAAGTGGTGCAGTCAAGTAGGTTGGAGCGTCATCCTGTACACCAAAAGGTTGCTAGTTTGGTTCCAGGTCAGGGCACATACCTAGGTCACGGTTCAATCCCCGGTTAGGGCCCATTTGGGATCACTGTTTCTCTTATCGATGTTTTTTTCTCTCTCTCTCTCTCCACCTTCCTCTCTCTAAAATCAATAAAAGGATCCTCGGGTAAGGATTTTTTTTTAATTTTTATTGTTGAGAGTATTACAAATGTCCACCTTTCTCTCCACCTCCCCGCCCCCATCGCGCCCCCTCCACCTGGTTCCCACCCTGCCCCAGGTCTTCACCACCCTCCTGCGTCCATAGGTAAGATCTTTGGCTAATCTCTTCCCACTCCCCCACCCCCTTTCCTCTGAGATTCATGTCTGTTCCATGTTTCCATGCCTGATTCTACTTTATTCACCAGTTTATTTTGTTCATTAGATTGCTTGTTTATTTTTATTTAGTTGTTGATATTTACGTATTTATTGCCATTTTATTATTCATATTTTTTATCTTTTTTCTCTACTTCTTCCTCTTCTTAAAGAATACCCTTCACTAGTTTATGTAATACTGGTTTGGTGGTGATGAACTCCTTTAGCTTATTCTTGCCTGGGAAGCTCTTTATCTGACCCCCAATTAGTGACCCCCCAATAAACAATAGCTTTGCTGAGTAATCTTGGTTGTAGGTCCTTGCTACTCATCACTTTGAATATTTTTGGCCACTCCCTTCTGGCCTGCAAAATGTCTGTTGAGAAATCAGCTGACAGTGGTAGCAGCTAATTAACTGCTTTTCTCTTGCTGCTTCTAAAATCCTCTCCTCTTTAACCTTCTGCATTTTTATTATGATGTGTCTTGGTGTGAGCCTCTTTGGTTTCATCTTGTTTGGGACTCTGTGCTTTCTGAACTTTTATGTCTACTTCCTTCACCAGGTAGAGGAAGTTTTCTGTCATTATTATTAAACATGCTTTTATTGATTTTTATAAGCTGTTTTTATCACTATTTTACACGTTAGGAAACTTATTCAAAACCAAACAGTTATTAACTTGGTAACTGACTATGTTGCGCATTGAAGCCCCATGTGTCTGATTCCAAACAGACCCTCTCTGACAGAATGACACAGCAATGCCTCCTCCCTGACGGGAAGAAATAAAGACGGGAGCACAAAGCTCCACCTCTCCTGGGTGTCACCGACACCTCAGGAAGACCCAGTGGCTGCTACAGGGCACGGAGTCCAGCCGCCGGACCCGGACCCCAGGCCGGCTCTCCTCTGTAAACTGCCGGTTCCGCGAAGATGAACTAAACGCGCTAGTGGAAAAGGATGGAGGCACTGCCTGCCGTGCACAGAGGCAACAGTTCCGCTGCAGGGGGCCTGGTAAATGACAAGATGTCCAAGGGAAATCTTAGTTTTCCTGGCAAAATAGTGAATGCAAGGATCGCTCCCCGACAAAGCAGGAGGGGGGAGGCGGCGGCCGTTACCCCGGCTAAGGGGGCGGGCCCGGCCCCGGGGCGGAATCCCACAGGCGGCCGAAGGGCCCACCCCGCGTCGGGAGGCGCCTACCGGCGTCCCAAAGGGCCATCTCGGGTGTCCCGAGCGGCCAGACGGCGCGTCGAGCGGGCCCTACCCGTTTGTCAGAGGCGCCGCCGCGAGAGGAGCGGGCCGCGGACCCCGTGCGGGA